CAACCAATTTTCAAATTCAGTCGCTATCCCCGAAGATCCAGCACAGTGCCTTTTTTCGTCATCTGATGATTGCTTGACGCCAGGTTATTGCGCTTATCAACCCCGCATTTTAATCTGCTCATCCGTTTCGGCAACGCCCATCATTTATGATCAACAAAGCTTTGTTCTCCAGAATCAAAACCACTAAAATACGGAGACGCAGCTGTTTCGGGATTTCACCAGGGAAAAAGCCAAAAAGAATCCGTTGGGAAGCGTGGCCAGCGTGCAAGGGAGCAGGTGATCCTTGCTGGTGACTCGTCATTCGATGCAAATGTTTTGGAAATCGCAGGCTGCCTCAATGGTGGCTTGGCAAGGGGTCCACACGGACTGCCGTTTAGCACTCTGCAGACGGTCAAGTGAGCATCCGTCGCCGGGACTGTAACCAAACACAGTTAGCGCGGCGACCGCAGGTGGCTAAAGACAAGTTTACGCTAGCCTAAACCGGCAAGGGCGCTGAGTCAGCCAACCACGGCCGCGTTCTTTGCTCTGGTACCTGACGCGATCAGCCACGGCGAGTGTGGCCCCCGGGTACCACATGATGCCATCGGAGAACAGTCGAGACAACACCAGAAACTATTGATATGGGCTGGATAATGAATTCGAACAAAAGCAGGTTTGCTCGACAGTTCGCAGCTCCAACGATCTCCATCCCGATCACCGTCAAGACCAGGGAGAAGTCATGAAACTGGCCCTTGCACCCAGCCAACTGGCGCACGACAACACCAGTGATTTACACCTGTTAAGCGCTCGTTCGACCTCCGTCGGGGCACGCTGAGACTTCCGCAGTCTCAATCATTCGACAATTCGAGTTCCTCCGGCTTGAACGCCGGCTGGACCGGGATCACCAGGATTAAAATTGTCCCCAATTTAAGCCCTCTGAAAGCCCATAGTACACAAGTCACTTGTCCCTCGAATAGATTAATAAATGGATTAATGACCCAATTCTCTTTCCCGCGGTATGAACAAGACGGCCTGCTCGTGCATGAAATGCGCCTCAAAACTGTCCATTTCCCCCTCATTTTGCCCTCCAAGCTTTCCACGATGGCGTAGCCCCTTTGTCCAATCACCAGGTCTCGCAACGAGAACTCTGTTGCATCAAAGCCCGCCGGACTGCGGTGCGTGGACGTCGTATGCACCGATGCCCATGCAGCAATTGCTCGTCCATTGACTGGTATCTTCTTTGTGAGGCCAGTTTTGCTTCCAACCTCACCGCCATCTGCTTGGATGCACTGGGTCTCGGAATCTCGTCCCCAAGATCCCCCTCTTGAGCCAATGACGGTTGCTTTGACGCTGCATAAAATGCTGCAAGTGCCAGGACCGTGAGCGCCGGGTGTTATTGACGCCTTTTGGTTGGATCACTTGTTGCTTCTCCTCCCAGCGAGACGCCAGCCATCAGAATATAATCCTGCCATCGTCCAGAAGACTTCCCACATGCTTTGTATCCTCACCCTCCATCACAGAACTCAATTCCGAGTCTGACCTGTCAATCGAGATTCTTGATCAGCTCAAGCGGGGTCAGGCTGTGTTGATCGTCGATTGAACCCCCAAGGTTCGAATATCCTCCTGCTGCTGTGATTGAGTGGTTGGAATGCTTCCCTCTTCCGATGAACGATGCAAGAGCCGTCCCACCCCCGTTATTGGGCTATTTTATCACCAACAGCGTGATGCAAGAGCTTCACTCTTCCCCTTCCATCACACCATGTTATAAACCTTGAAATCCGGATCCCTTTCCAGTTGAGCCAATGGCCCCGGCCCTCTGGGGGTTACGACGACGACGGACGTTGTTTGTTTGGCTTTTTCGTTGTCAAGCGAGTTGCTGCAGCTTTGTGTTTCCCGTGTTTCCTGGTCAACTTGGCCAGTTGCTCTCGGAATGTTCCAGGATAGTTATGGCAACGGCTGAAGGATGAGTTTCTTCACCCTCGTTCGATTCTCAAGATGGGATTTCCTGCTGTTTGCACCTGTCAAGCTACCACTGCATGTCACATATCCATCTCTTTTCTTGAACAGTAGGAAAATTCGTCAGGTTATCTCTGCAATATTGTCCTCGTCATCTCCTACAGCTTTGGGTAACGTAGCATCATCAACTGCTCAAGCCAGCATCAAACCTCAAACAGAAGAAAAGTGTGGATAACAGTCACCAAAGATTCAAGGAACCACTAGAAACCCTCTCAGCTCATGTTCTTCTATTTCACTTCCATCAGTTAATATTCTCTTCAACCTCTCACAGCAGTAGCTCGCCAAACAATCATCCGTCACTCACTCCTAGACTTATCAACTACTTAACTACCGGATATCATGGCCCAACCACCCTCCCCCAACAAAGCCGCCTACCCTCCCGACCGCACCCCAGACGAAGCAATCTCCCTCTTCAAAGCCCTCGAAGCCAAATTCCCCTCAGCCACCCTGGGAGATGACAGGTGGTACTTCATCCCCGTACGTCCACCACAGTAAAACCTCGTAGCCCTTCAAAAAACCCCATATTATATCAAAGTCCCCCTCCCGGGGCCGTTTCCTTTTTTTCTTTTTAACCTACGCTCTAGATCGCCGCCCTTGTTGGTTCCGGCCAGCCAGAATTCGCTATCCAGCTATACACCTACCTCATCTCGAAGCCGGAATACTCCACCCCGCAAGCGCGCCAGGAGCTTGTCCGCCGACTGCGCGAAGCGCTGGTAAAATGCGTGCCCATCGTCGGCGTGTGTCGACCGCTGGAAGTGGTATTTGGCATTTCAAAGATTGAAAGGGAAGAAGATAAGGATTATTCATTCTCCAGGTTGGTTATAGAATGTCCCCCTCCCTCTTCTATCATACAAAACAAAAAATCCCCCTTCTTCCCCCAGTCCTTCTTACAAAAAATATCCCAGGCAAGACTGGCAGTGTGACCTCGCCAACCACACCCGCGGCAAAGCATGGCTCGACCGCATCTACAAACATAACATCACCTCCATCGACGATGCACTCGCCTCCCACAAGGACTTTGCCTGGATCTCTTATAACATCACGTACGGCTTGTATCTCTCCGACCACTCCATCATCGATGACATCGAGACCGAGCTGGTCGTGCTGGCCGGCATCATGGTGCAGAATTTGAGGAGTGAGACGCATTGGCATCTCAGGGGGATGAGGAGGGTTGGTGTGAGTTTAGAGGACGTGGAGATCGTGCATCAGTGTGTGAGTAATGGGGTACCCTGGTCTTTGTTTTTTTTGTTTTTTGTTTCGAAACGGGAGTGTGCTGATGCTGAAGGGATTCCCCTGTGGAATAGATCGAGCTTGTTGCTGAATTTGCGAGGATAAGGGTTGATAAGGTACCGCGTGTAGCTGAAATAGAGCACGAAATTTGAGTTTGTTTCGAGGATGAAACGTCGAGAGTGCTGGGGTTGCCCGTGTATGTCTAATGGCAGGTTTAGAGCCACTCAACTTCTGTTGATAGAAGTTTCATCCATGCATCGTCACTCATTCATTGAACTGGGAGTCTGCATTTATATCCAAACGCTCCGCATTATAACGACGGACCGCAAAGCTCTGATTTAGGCGGGCGGCGGCTTCATAATGCCCATTCATTCTTATTATCCGATGGGCCGATAAAAGGTTCATCAACTTGCTTGATCGCATAGTCACCGCATAAAATACTATGCCGGTTAGCAACGCTACGAAAAGCCGCGGAAAAATAAACAAAAATTGCACTTACCATGCCTCAGCAATCAATCCGTCCAGCTCTCTAATAACCTGTTCCCTCCTCGCCGCGGTATTGGCCCCTTTACTCATCTCAGCCTGCAAATCCTTGATGTGTTTTCGCTTCCCTGTGCCAGCCGCAGCCATAATCTTCTTTCCCAAGCAATCGCTATGGAATGCATGTTGGCAAGGGAACACGAAAAATTGTCTGCTGAGCACGGGGAGGGAGCAGATCCAACATTTCTCACCCGGTTCTACAATTGCGTAGCGAGTTCCCAGAGATGCGATCTCCCTCCTAATCTGGTCAGCAACATGAGCTGAATTATCCATTTCTTGCCGCAAGGAATCGATGTGACGCGAATAATCTTCAAGTGCTGTGCAGATCTCGTCTTTGAAGTCATCGATAACCACAAAATCCGGGAAGAACGGAATGAGGTCTTCAATGCGGAGTAATTCGCACCGGCGCAGAAATTCAATGGCATCTTTAATTCCGGTTCCTCGTTGATGGATTTTCTTTTCTGCAACTAGAAGCCAAAGCTTCTTCCGCAGTTTATTATTTCCTTCAGGTCGATCAGCAACAAGCGCTGCGAGCTCAATATCCTCGTGTTTCAGGGCTAGCTGTACAGCTTCAAGATATTGACCCATCATACTATAAATGTGGACACATGACTGGACGCGACCATGTTGAATGCACAATCGGAGCGCGAAATCTGCATCGTACGGCGGAGGAGATATTGATTGACTCTCGAGGTAAGTGAGCAACCCAGCCTCGGATTTCGAAGGGTGAGAGGCATATATAGATATCAACGTATTGTGGACGGCTGCAGAAGGGTCCGGATGATTGGTAATAATAAAGTGAAGGTACCGCACAGCCTGGTTTTGGGAAAGGGAGACTGTGGTCTCTTTGTTGTAGCTTAGAAGAGCTGGGATAAGCTTCGCTGGGTTGAGATTCGTCTGTCTCATTAAAATATCGACGAGCTCAGTAGCGACATGCATCATTAGCACGCTACTATACTTATAGAAGACTTCTGGATCGGCCTGTTTTTTGAGGACGTCTAGAGCTTCTGTCCATTTCTCGCGCTGAACCCAGTATGATAACACAAAGTTATGGTCATTGACCGCAATCGCAAAATAGAGAAGCTCCTCCTCCCGACCGTGACTCCCGATAATATCATAAACAGTTTTAGGATCTAGATCAGCTTTGTATTTCGATACAAATGTCTGGAATTCCGATTTGACCTGTTGGAGTTGGTTTTTGGCATCCACTGCATTGGTGCCCTCTTCTAGTTCGGCCTTGGTCAAGACAGCGTCATCTAGAGCGTCGAGCTTGGAGACAAAAACTTCAACAAGCCAGCTAGCTATCATTGTCCGCTGCATCACTGCTGGCTTTTTATAGGTGGTCAATTGGGTTAGGAGATATTTTCGTAACGCATCTGTCTCGCCTTTGTCAATGAAAGTTAGACAGACTTCTTCAAAAGGCTTGCTGCTTTTCCCCCAAACGTGTGCAGCCTCAAGGTACTGGCCCTTTCTGGCTAAGTAATCACCCGACGCAGTAGCAACAGCGTCTTTTTGAGCCGGGCTATGTGCATATCGCAGCGCGGCGTCAAATTGCTGCTCTTTTAAAAAGATTTTCCAAATGTTTCTATCCTCGTCCTTGGCAGTGATTTCGAATATCTTTTTCCCAGTGAAAAGCCAGTATGTGTTCTTCTTCAAATCTGAAACCAGCCCCAAGGAGCTCGTGCCAGGTTCGAGCACAACTTGATCGTACACTATCTCATTACTCAATCGGTTGATTGCCACGACGCGGCCTTCAACTAGTGTAAGTATATGCCATTGTGTCATAGTCATACCCTTAATTGGGTCTTGAATAAGCTTTTTACCACCTTTAGCAGATTCGGTAGCTGGCAGCATTGATCGAGGGATCATTTTCGCCTTATCAAATATGCGATGCCCAACTTCGGGAGGACCGGATGAGTTCGGAATAGCGCCATGGAAGACGCCTTGAGACGAGAGCCAAGCAAAATTCTTTTCGCCAAGTATTCCATCTCCGTGTGAGCCTTCAAGAGGCTCAGGCTGAATAGCCAGCAAAGATGGGGCAGATAAAGACGCCGAGGACAGTTCGTGGACGAGGGGTGTTTCCCGCTGGAACAAATCCGCGTACAGCGGGCCGCCTCCTTCTCTTCCATGCCTGCCCACCGTTCCTCTAAAGTAAAAAATTCTCCCATTGGAGGACACCAGAACGTGCCGGTATTCATGTTTATCCGCAACGGAATCCACCCAGATCCCCGTGACCGCCATGTTGGGAAGCCTATATACCGAATGCACATATTTCTCATCTCTGCGGTAAAACTCGGTCGCTGGTTCAATATAAACTTCGTAGATATTCCCATCTGCTGCGCCGACTAGAATTTCTCGCGTGGACGCGGTCGGCTGCGCCAGGTTCCATGCTATACACTCAATAGAGACGCCTTTCAGCCTTGGTAGGTGCTTGGGTTGCCGCGATTGCGTGTGGAGGTAGTAATTTTCACCAAGGGTGGTGGTGATAATCAAATGCGAAGCTGAGGGATCGAGGAACATGCGACGAATAACGCCAATCTCGGATGACTTTTTGGGTAAATCAATATCTAGCGAAAGGGCAATATCAGCCATGCGCCCGGCTTGAATGTAGGAGTAACGTGACATGGACTCACCATCGATGTCTTCTGGGCTGCCTAAATCAATCCTCAATATTCTCCCTGTCGCAAGGGCAAGGATCACGACGTTGTTGGCAACTTGAGCGGCGACGAAGTCAACCGCAACATCAAATGCGAGTTGAACTCGTTCAACGTTGAATATCGGTAGCAACGGCTCCTCCAACTGGGCTAGGTTGCTGGAGGCCGCATGGCCGCCGGGTCCATCCAGCGCCATTGATGCGCTTAGGTGTGGAGTTTATCTCATTGCGAGCTGTAGTGTTTGATCTCTTGCACACGGAGTAGATGATGTTTAGGAGAGGAATAGGTAACTAAGCTGCAGGCCCTCAGACTAGTTACACTTTGCCAAGCTTTCCACTCTTGGGCTGAAATATGCTAAGATCATGACCAAATTTGTTACTTTTTATATGGAGCTATGAGATGTACGGCAGGAGATGGGATCCTGGTCCCATATGCTTATATTTTGTTCCAAAATTCCCATAACATTTCTGCTGTATCATATAATAAGGCCCCCGACTTCATTCTGACCATAGTGATTCCGATGGACTCTGTCTC